TGTAAAACACTTCCTTTGTATTGCCACACTAAAATGGTAGCAGATAGAGACACTTACTTTCCTTTTGGGAAGATGAGATTGCTCATTCAGGATTTGCAAGCTTCAATCACTTCCAGTCCCTGACAGGTAACCGAAATATTTGAAGAGTTCCCTGAACTCAACTAGATTGTTGGAGATAGTGAACTGAGGTCACACCCATCTAAAGGGCAACCACTCAGCTTCTGCTGGTTACTGTCGGAAATGCAGAAAAGTAGCCCCGATGTTACTTGATCTTTGGATTTTTCAACAGAAGCTGGAAACCTGGGCTTTAATGTCAGAAAAAGCCTCCTTATTTAATATGTTGTATGGATCAAACAAAACCTATCTGCAAGCCGGATTTGACTCAAGGGCTTCCAGTTTGTGAGCGCTGCCTTAGAACAAGTAACAAGAGGCAGTGAATCACAAGAAAATGAGCCAAATTTGGTTTTGGAGCCAAATCCCAGCAGCATTCTCCCTAGCCAGGTGACCCTGGGTTAAGTTACTTAACAATCTTCAGCCTCAGTTTTCTCACCAGGAAAATAATCACATCTACTTTGTAGGGTTTAGGAAGGATTAAATTAAAATGTATGTAAAACATAGAAGCATGATCCCGAACAAAGCCAGCACTCGTTCTTTTGCTGATGCGGTTTTCGTATTACTGTAATTATTAATATTATTATTCATCAGTTCTTGGCATGTAGATAAGCAAATCTTCACTGTAAAAATGGCTATTTTTCTCTCCCTGTTCAAACTGGTTGCAAACAAACAAGGCCAATTAACCCCTACACAGAAAGCTAACTTGGAGCAGGGTAAGCTAAGTGCTTAGTTATTAATGATTTTGTTCTGGCTGCAGTCCATGAAGATACCCTCATCTTCCTTAATGAAAACGCCCTCAGCAGCCCAGCCCTGCAGAGCCTCCCCGAGGCCACGCTGAGGTGATGTTTCTTCCAGGATAGGTCACCTGCAGGGAGCACCATGAAGTGGCCACCTTTGCTCCCCAGCTGCCTTACATCAGGTGGAGGAGAGAGGCCCTGCTGACAATTGCGAGACCTTTGTACTCTAAGACCCATAAATCCCCGTTTCTTGGAGGTTTTTGTTTTTCTGTTTTTTTCTTAGAAATTCTAAAAAAAAAAAAAAAAAAAAAAAAAAAAAGCCCCACATTTGCTACCTCAAGGTGTGGGTGACAACAAAAATGGAAAGAGTGTATGATCACTCAGGAAAATCCCCATAAAATATGCAACTTCAACAGGACCCTGGGCATCTTTCCTGACACAGAGGAAGACTCAATGTAGAAAAAGCAATTTGCCATACACAGTGCTGGGTGTTTTAACTCAGTGCTTCACAATCTTTAATGCGTACAAGCAGCAGCCAGGGATCTTGTTCAAGCTCAGGTTTGGATTGAGGAGATCTGGGGCAGGGCCACAGACTTTGCATTTCTAACAATCTTCCACGAGATGGTGATATTGCTGGTACCTGCACCAGGTGCGAATGAGCACCATCCTCTTCCCTTGCTTCATTTAGGTCTCTGCTCAGATGTCTCTACTCAGAGAATCCTTTCCCGACTACCTTATCTAAAATGCGATGATTAGTGGAGTCAGGGCAAGAATCTTGTTTTGTTCTTTGCTGTGTCACCAGAGCACCTGGCGCAGAGCAAGCCCTCAAATATTTGTTCAGTAGAGACCTGCCAATTTGACAGGTGAGAAAATGAAACTGGGGGAACCTAAGTCATCTGCTCAAGGTCACACAGCTTGCTAAAGCCATTGCAAATGCCAGCCCTGCCCTGTCTGGACTTCAAAGTCCCACCATGTCAGAGGGAAGCAAAGTTTGTTTACTTCCTCCCTAGAACTTTAGTGCCGTCATGCCGGGAGGCAGTAACACAATTCTATCCTGTTTTTAAGAGATGCCTGCTGTGTGGACATAGTACTGGAAGGGGACCAGGGTGGAAGCACAGGGACCAATGAATAGGACGATGTAGTGAACAAAGGCAACAAGTGATCCTCTTAGGGTTCCTTGGTATTTGGGGTAAGGAGAGTTCCTTCTCCCTGGGTCAGACCAAAGGCAGCATTCGGCCTCTGTGCCAGGCCAGCCTTTTCTTCCTACGCTGGTCCAACTCTCTCTTCTAGGGGCTCATGCTTGCCCCAGTGAGAGGTGTGTAAAGTGGATTTCAAACTGCCAAAAGAAGACCATGTTGTGTAACCCAGAAATAGTTATCTCTCTTCTCCAAACGGTCACCCAAAAGTATGCCATGGGGAAAAGGAGGGAGTAAGAGCAAGGAGCTGGTGGTGCCTTTCCAACAATGGGTGGAAGTGCCATGGAAACCCTATTCATGGAGCCAAGGTGAAGTCTTTCTGCTGGGGGTAGGGAAATTGCTTCAGCATGAAAATCTGTCAAAGCCTGTGGAAAGGGTCTCTTTCCAAAAGAGTAGTAGAAGAGTTCAGTAACGGGCTGAAACTAAAACACCTGCTTTCCCTTTGCAAAATCAGCTAGATTAAAACAGCTTAAAATTATTCAAAAAGCTGTGATCATGAAGGTCTAGCGTGGCGCTGGACCCCTGGCATCCCCAGATGCGCTAGTTATATATCTCCTCCTGAGCAGTGGTTGAGGGGAGGCCAAAAATCATTAACAAAATTAGCAAATATTTATGATATACCTGGGACTGGATGAAGCATGTGTTTTCAAGATCTAATTTAATCACCACAATCATGTTCTGCATTAAGTGTCCTTATTATGCCCACTTACCAGTAGAGAAACTGGGAACTAGGGAGAGTCAGTGACAGGTGACAGGGATCACACAGTGGAGGAGAGGAGCCAGGCTACACACCCACCCTGCGCCACTGCCCCACAAAGCCCCTGTTCAGAAGTTGACACAAGGGCTGCAGAGTAAGGGAGGAAAGGAAGTTGGAAATCACTTACTCTACTGTTCATTACTCTGCCTCTCCCAACCCCCATTAGAGCACAAGATGCATCAAAAAGGAAGCTCTCAGTAATTTTGTCCTTCTGGATTTGGTTTACAAAATCAGGTTTTCTACACCTATTCTCAGGTTTTCATCCATGTTCATATTTGGGACACTCAAGGGGCTGGCCTATACCTGGGCTACCACATCGGTACCACTGATTAATGCCCATGTCTGCCAATTACATATTTATAAGGTCGCCTGCCTTGACTCTGACACAGAAGTTATTAAATGCTCAGGAGCTGTAAGGGTTGCGCTCAGTGCCCTGAAACAAAGGCAAAGAGGCTGCCAGACCCGTCTGAAGCAGGAACAAAAGCATATAATTTCTGAAGGAGCGGGTTGGGAGTTTTCTTATAACTGGGTGCCCAGCACACATTACAAATGGGGAAAAGTATAGATGTACTAATGGGGGTGTGGGGATCAAAGCAGGCTTTTCTGCCTAGTATCCAGAAACAGCCCTCTTCAAAAGCAGCTTGGGTGGTGGAGAAAGGGGGAAAGATGCACTAATCCAAGAGAGAACGTGTTATGATATTGCACAAGTCTCCCATGTCACGTTTTTATTTCTTATGAAGATGCCAGGGAGGATTCATCTCTTGCTTGAAATAAGCAAACTGACAGCTTGTAAGCCTGCACCCCAACTTTTCCCAGAGCCCCAGCAGACAGATGCATTGGGAGGGCACCCAGATCCCTTGTCTCCCAAACATAATCATTCCAATCCAAGCTGGGGCTGCCTGGAAGTCAACATTCAAGGCACATTTAATAAGAAACATCTGGCCACCGAAGAGGGCTGACACGGCGCAGGCGGGCAGCGATGGATTTGTGGTTGGGACCCAGAGTTACAGGCGCTGAATTAAAAACACAATTGGAGAACACCAGCTAGTCCAGGGGATCCTACACACACAGCACTGTGCCACTTGGCAACACTGCCAGGCCCAGGGTGAATTGTTTTGGAGTGAGTTACCTAGACACATAGTGCTGGTGCTAGGGATCCACAGCTCTCACTTCAGGGAAACGCAGTCTGAGCTCGGCTCTCCTGCAGCCCCCGGTGTCTGGCCACCACTTCCACCTCCAATATTTGTAGCAGATGTAGCTCTGCTCTTAAAGGAGCAGGCTTTGCATTCTTTCCATGTGACTTACAAGTGAGATTTAAGACGGGGGGGGGGGGAAGGGGGAGAATATATATATATGCATATTATATATTGCGTATTTTTTCTCGCCGTAGTGTTGTGCATTTAAGGCTTCCTACCTCCATTTATGCAAGGCGAACCCAGGGCACTGGTCACCACAGGCGTTACATGGCTGGCCTCGCTCTATCCGCCCCAGTCCGGTCAACTTCAAAACAAAAAGACAACACACGATGTCTCCACCACGGGGGCTCCCTCCTCCACAGCCCCACTCGTGTCCCAGGCAGGATGACCTGCCCCTTCCACCCCACCTTCTGCGATTTAAGTCAACTGTTCCTCTTCTGTGTAGGGGACATGGGGCGGGGCGCTGCCAGTGTCCCAGGGGTGGTTTCCCTCCTGCCTGGGGAAGGGTGCGCGGACCCAGGCAGGCTGCCTCCGGCTCGGGCACCACAGCACTGAGAAATGGTCACGGCTGGGGCTTTGTCTCCCCCAGACACCTTGGTCACGGGTTTCTAAGAAACAAAAGCAAGACCCTTCAGTTCCCTAGAGTCCGCAAGAAGCGAACCTCGCACGCCCGCCCTGGACCAGGCTGGTGCTCCCGGAAAGGGGGCAGCAGAGGACACCCCAAAAGACAGCCCCAAAGTCCAAGTCCCCACTAGAGCTCCAAGTGGCTGGACGCTGGAGCTTTGGTGCTGGGATTCCGATCTGCCCGGAGGGAGGGGGCTTTCCAGGGAACCCCCAGACCCTGACACTGAGGGCCAAGGTTCAGGTCTCGCTGTCGCCCAGCCTGGGGATAGGAACTTAACCCCTCCCGCGCCTTGGAGCGCTCTCTCGCGCCCCGGACGCGCCCCGCCCGTGGGGCCGGCTTACCTGGGGCCACAGGTGTGCGGCCGCGGGACGCAGTGGGGCTGCGCGCGGGCGCTCACGGCCGGCTGGAGGTGCCCGGCGATCGGCCCCGCTGGAGCGGGGGACACTCACCGAGCGGCTGGAGAGTCTTTTCCGGGAGCTCCGGCTGAACATGGCCGGGCGCCTCCTGCTTGCAGCGCTGTCCGTCGGTCCGACCGCGCCGCGGCCGGGAGGGCGGGTCGCCTGGGCGGGCAGCCTCGGCGGCCGCTACCCTGGATGTCTCCGCCTCGCAGCCCCCGGCTCGCTCCGGAGCGCACGCCTATCCCTCCTCCCTTCCCTCTGCCTCTCCCTCCCCCCTTCCCTCTGCCTCTCCCTCCCCGCCCCAGGTCCCTCCCTCTCTCCCGGCATCCCCCCGCCCTCCCGTGTTCGCCCCGTGGTCCACCAGCTCTTCCCATCCCTCCCCCACCCGGCTGGGGCCACTTTCTCCCTTTCCCTGGTTTCCCGGCCCACTGGTCACAACTCCCCTAGCTCACCTGATCCCACCCCCGTAGGCTCTTCCCTCACCCTTGTCCCCAAGCAAGGGGCAGGGACCGTTTCACGCCCCCCTGCCACTGTAGCTGGGGTAAGGGAGTGGAGATGGAAGAATGAGGGTTGAGTTTTTTTAAAGTTATAATCCACATACGGTAAATTCACCCTTTTTTAGCATGCAGTTCTGCCAGTTTGGACAAATTAGTACAGACCTGGAACCCCCACCACAGTCAAGATACAGAACAGCCCTATCACCACCCGAAAATGGATTATTTTAAAAGTTTGTATCATCCCTAGAATCTAGCGTTCCTTAGGTGTTGGGAGAGTAATAGGCAGTGGAGGAGGAGGAGGAGGAATTACGCCCCTATCTAATTGCCCCTGTCTAATTACAGTGCCTGGAATATAGTAGATGCTCATTAAGTAACTGATGAATCATTACATTCAAGCTTTGAAGCCATTGCGCCTTTAGTTTCTTTCTTACCATTACGTTTTCACTACTTACTAGCTGGTGATCTCCCCAAATTAATTAACCTCTTCGTGCCTCTGTCTCTTTATCAATAATATTTTTTTAAATGATATAACAAGAGTCCTTATCTCACAACATCGTTGAGAGAGCTGAGTTGGGACGAGTATGGTTATTATAACAGGCACAGACTAAGGCTCCTCAAAGATTAGCTATCATGGCCTGGCATGGCTCACGCCTGGAGTCCTAACACTTTCAGAGGGTGAGGCAGGACAGTCTCTTGAGGCCAAGAGCTCGAGACCAGCTTGGGCAATCTGATAAGACCCCATCTCTATTAAAAGTAAAAAATTAGCTAGTCATGGTGGTGCACACCTGTAGTCCTACCTGTTTGGTAAGCTGAGGCAGGAAGATTGCTGGAGCTCAGGAGTTTGAAGTTACAGTAAGCTATCATGGACCCACTGCACTCCAACCTGGGTGTTAGAGCAAGACCCTGCCCCTTAATCTTAAAGATTAGCTGTCAAAGAGCGAAAAAGGTAGTAAGTTTGAGAAGTTCAGGCCACATGCCCGCTTATCATTATGTTTCTACTCAAATATCTTCCCTGAGATACCTTTCCTGGCCCCCTGTTGTAACATCTCTTGCACTAATAGGACCTTGCACACACTAATACGGTGTGCAGCATTCATTAAAGCGATCTTGTTTGCTTATTTATTTGTCCTCACCCAAACCCAAGTTGTACAACAGAAAGGGCATTGTCTTCTTGACCTCAGTTGCTCTAGAGCCTGTAACAATGCCTGCCTCTGGTACGTTCTCTGTAAATATTTCTTGAAAGAAGACATTCTTCTCATTGTCAAAAAAGATAACTGTCCAAACTTAGTTTTACAGATGAGACACTGAACTTTGATGAAGAAAAGGTGTTTTTCTGGAGTGGCACAGCAAATGAGTGGCAAGCCCAAACCACCTACATCCCAAATTCAAAAGAATAGTGTGACACAACTCAGACACATCCAGTGTATCAGTGTCAGCTGACTGTCTTCACTGCTCAGACAGTAAAGTTTGGTTTGGTTTCTGGGATGGAATTAGGGTTAGGTAAGGAAGGCCTTTACTTTGAAAGCAAAATGTATTGGGATGCTAACAAACTCAGTAACCAAGATAAACTATGTTTTTACACAATATTCTAAAGAATTAAAATTAACACCAAAAAAAACCCACAAAACTCTATGATGAACAGAATATCATTTTAAATAGACAAGATTCTACCCTATACTTATACAACCCTGCCTCACTCACCTCACCGTAATCCTGGCCCTGGTAAAAATGTTCTAAAACTCAGGGACATTAAGGATAGACTTCCTTATATTGCTTTATCTATGTTACTCAACACCCACTATCACCATTTGATGATATACTCACAGAGGGTAAGTGCCCCAGCTTTTCTAGCTCTTCATTAGCCCAGGCTTAGCACAGCACCTGGCTCATTTCAAATGCTTCACACATATTCGTTAAATAACTAAATCTAAGGCAGTAGATTCGGCAGGGGGAGGGGGAGGGCATGTTAGCAATCACAGCCCCTGGGTATAGTCAGTTCCAGCCACTCACCTGGCTTTCTCAGCAGGGCACCACACACCCATTTCTGTACCTCATCTGGAGGAAAAGGACAGGAGGTTAGGGAAGTGCTCACATTTTGATTGTGGATATCACCTATTAGTATTTTAATTATGAACATTTTTAGCAAAGGTCAGTAACAAAATTAGTACATAACAAGTTTCCAACAGATGGAGGGGGAATAGCTTGAAGAAGCGGCACCTTATTCAAATTCCCTCAAAGGAGCGACAAGATCTAGGAGCAGGTGTCTTGCCTCAGGTGTGGCTGGTGGAGGATGCAATGATAACAACATCATTGGGAACACGGGTTGAGTGTTTCTGGTCTTTAACTTTTGTTGTGTGGTCAAAGAGGAGATGCCAAGAAGATGTCAGTGGACTTTAAATGTTGTATGAATAAGCTGTGTGCATGTGGCCCAATCCCACCTTGCTAACAGGGCTGCATGGGTTTCTCCTGATGCTTGCCATGAAAAGAACCCACTCCTAAACCCAGTCCCCACTGCTCTATTTTTTCTGAGTTTCAGCCAGTAGTCTATGGGCTTATTTACACCTGCGGTTCATGTATGAGAGGTAGTATCTTCTTTATCTGTTCAACAACCACTTTATCTTGCTTAGGAAGACAAAGTTTAGTAACCCAGGAAGGAAAAAACATTCTTGCTGGCAGCTGCAGGTAAATGGTAGACAATTTTCTTTTGCTTTATCACTGCATTTGCTGTTCATAGACATCTTTGATGTATGTTCTTTCTTCATTTCTCAAGGCAATACAGTTACAGCAGGAACTTGAAGAGATCCTCATACACAATTGTCAACACGGGAAGACGCCTTTGCTGTAACCTAAGGTGGAAAAACAAAACCCGAACAGACTGTTCGCCTGTAATTGGTCCTAAAATATGCATTAAGAAACTGGAAAGAAATATGTAACATGTTAAAATGTATTAATCATGAAATTATAAGTTTTTGTTTCCTTTCTGCCTCTTAAATCTATTTCCTATAATGGACATGTGTTCATTTAATAAGCAGACATGTAACAGTATTTATCTAAAATTGAGAATTGTGCCCTTGTTGCCTGAGGTCTTTTTACATCAAATATGGACCGACTGCAGTGAGCAGCTCTGTGCCTCCCCTTCTCCTGACCTATATATAGGTTCCCATCTTGTGCAGTTGGGCTTTTCTATTTCTTCTTGTATAAATCTGTGACTTGTAAGCGAGGCGAAGCTTCTGGCCCGCTGTTCTTACATACCTGCAGGAAACCTCAGCAATGTGTCCAAAAAGTGCTTTCTAAACTAGGGAAGAACACAGCAGCTCAGAGCAGCCTCACCCAGGTGCATACTTAGTTCTGTGACCTACCAGAAACAATTCTGAATGTGGCAAAAGGGGTAAAATCTCCCTGAATAGTAGTCAACGCTTCGCAGCTCTATCAAAGCGTCCTCTGAGTCAGAAGTCTACAAATGGTAATTTTAAGAAGAGTATTTAAAGCCGTGAGTGGTGGGGGAGCTGAGGATGACTAGAAAGACGATTTTCTCTTAGTGGTGGGATTATAGAGGGGCTTTCGTCCTCCTTCCCAATGAGTACTCTTCTGTAGTCTATACGTTTTCTTGTCTAGGCATGAATTAGACATGTCATCAGGAAGAATTAAATCAGGAGTTAACAGGAATAAAGAGAGAGTGCAGGTGGGCTATTTCACAGGATTTAAATAATCTTAAATTTACAAATATATCCTAATACGTTTAAAGCAAAAATATCTGAAAAGATATAAAGTACTACACTAAACAGCATATAGCTTTCTCTTTGAAAAGCCTTGGAATCTTTCCAGTTTCTTGGAATTTTGCAGTGCCATGGGCTCGGCTTATCCTGAAAAGTAAATTAGAAAAAAAAAAAAGCACAAATGTAGTTTAAGGGACACTCCCCACAGTGTTGTTTCTAAGACAAAAAGAAAAATCACACGTGATCTACATACCTAACATTAGAGGATCCATTAAGTAAAAATAAATAATGGTACATTCTTCCAGTGGTATTCTGCCTAGATGTTAAAAATGATGTTGGATATGAGAAAATTTGAGTGAATATTCTTCCATTTGAAAATTAGGTTACAAAATAACAATATGAATTTACATTTGCAAAAGATCTAGGGTACCTCTTACACTTTCAAAAATACACACATATTTGGAAAAAAGAAATCCAGCAACTATAACAAAAAATGTTACTGGTTAGGATTATTTGTTTTAGGGGATTGAATTTCAAGTGATTTAATAGTTTCTCTTTTGCTTATCTAATTTTTTTAAGAAAATGAATGTGTTTTCCTTCTATTAAAAGTGAAAATATAAAATAATTACTTAACTTTTTAAAGTTCTTGAAGACTAAGGGGTATCTTTAGATGATAGAATACAGAGGGGTTTTTGGTTACTTTTTCTTACCTGTATATTCTCAATTTTTATAGGAAGCAAGTATTGCTTTGAATTAAGAAACACTTTGAAACTGTTAATATATATGGGTTTCAAATATTCATAATTATCTTGTAAGACAAATACTAGTTTTCTTTAAAAAGAAAACAATTATTTTATCTTCTGGTGATTTTCTAGAGTTGTTTTCCCCATGAACACGTGTCTTTTGTAATAATAATAAAAGAGGTATATTTTTGGCATAGCTCTTCTGTCACTCCCTTTAACCAGGGATTTGAGGACTTTTGAGCACTGTGCTCCCTGTTTTCCCCCAATACCCCTAAACAAGCACAAATATGCAAAGTTGACTTTTTGATAATCCCTTTCACTTGTGTTTCAGTCTACTGTTTGCAGAGTAATTCAAAAGTATTATATTGGGACTCAAACCTCACAGTGAGGTCAGAAAAGGAAACAAACATTTGCTGAAGCTGTGTGACTTCCCTGACATGTATGCTGGTAAGAGAAGGAGGTTTTGGAAGTCATGAAGCCTAGGTTTGTTTCCCCAGGGTTTCACGATCCTTTCCTGCCTTTGGGGATAGCTTTCTATTAAGATACTCTCTCTTTCTCCCACACAGGCAAATACACAAGACTGCCCTGCTGTGCATCTTCTGGGTGCACCCAATACCCCTTCACACAAAAATGCATTTGAAGGACCAGTATGGGTCCGAGGTGAGAGCATATTTTGGGGCAGCTGAGTGGACTTTCTCTTGCTGTTTCCCTTTTGACTGCATTTGTTTCCCCGTAATCCCCCACTCTCTCCAGCTCACCTGGCAAAGCCGCTCCTTTCCCTTAGCTCTTCTCCAGCCTTTGTATCTTGTTTTTGCATTGGCTGAGTTCATCATAGCTTTCATCAATTCAATAGAAACTATGAAAACAGAGGAGAGGGAGTTTCCACGCACATTATTTCCCCTATTTCCCTGGTCTATGCTTGAGCATCACCGAGAAACCAAGGTTATTGGTTTGCCATATAGAGCTGATTTTTCTCTTCAATTTTAACTCAAAAATAAATTCTCTTTCTGACACACACACACACAAACACACAGAGACATTTAATAGCCTCTTTATCTCACTGAGATTCAGAATTACTGAGTGGTTCCCAACCTTTCTGTGCTTATACTTTCCAATGGTAGAATTTTGGAGAGTTCAACTGAAGGGATTAGAAGACTCAAAACAAAACTAAATAGGTCAGCAATAAGGACAAAGCAATTGCAATTGCAATGTAGGATTGGTTGTCCTTTACATTTGCCCTTTAGCACTAAGCCTCTTTAGAACAATGTCTCTCAAATTTGGCTGCATATCAGGAATGACTTGGGGAACTTTAAGAAAATTCTAATGCCCAGGCCACACTCCAGGCCAATTAAATCAGAATCTCTGGGGAGTACAGCCCAGCCTTTGGCATTCTAACAACTCCCCATGTGATTCCAGGCTGCAGTTGTGCAGCAGAACTGCGGACTGCATGACCTTTTAGGCAAAGGCTTCCCATGGCCATGTTCTTTGGCTGAGATTTCCACCTGCTATGCTTTCTTCTTCTCACCAGAAACTGTCCAGCTTGACACCCACTGGAAGGACCTCATCGACTGTAACAGTTTATAACATATTTCTAAAGAGGGTGGGCCTGGGTTTCTGAAGAGTTTTGTGTTTGCCATGCTGCACAAGTATGGAGCACCTAGGACAGAGCTAAACTCAGCTCTGTCTTGTAAAGGAATAGAAGAATGGGTGAGGGCTAAGCGGGTGACAGAGGAGAATCATCTTATTGGCTGTGCAGACAGGGGTTCAGGGGAGAGATGTGTCCAATGGGGATTGCTCAAACAAAATGTTCAGTGCCTAAGCTGGCCCCACTCCAGGAGTAAGGAATCTTCTGTAAAACCATACTATTTTCATATGCTTGGCATGCCTAGATCTTAGGGAATCCTGGAAGAGGGCTGAATTCTGTATTGATGCTGGCAAAGGGCCATGTCTGAGATGGCTTCTGGTAACAAGAAGGAAGTCTGCACATGGGCTTCAAGAGTGTAAAGTCAATTACAACAAATTAATTATGTTCATCGGTCAGAACGTGTTGGAGCACTTGTGTTGGTCTCTACAGGGGCTCATGGCCCTTTTCTGATTCTTTCCATCTGGGAAAGTTGTCTCTTTTGTCTAGCCCAGCAGTTCTTAACCCTGGCTAAGCACTAAAATAATCCGGGAGGCTATTTTCTTTAATATGTCATGTATGTCCCCATCCTAATCAATTAAATCAGTATTCCTGGGGTAGGATCAGACAATGGATGGTTTTTTTAGAGCTCTCCAGGTGAATTTAAAGTCTAGTCAGGATTGAAAGCCTCTATTCCATCTCTTTTCCCATGATTTCTTTACTCATCCTCCTAGATTTTCCTTCTGTGTGCTCATGCTGCATTATCCTCATGCTACCTTTGTACCTGCCCTCTCACTATGCAAAGTGGACAGTATATCTCTTTTACATAGATAACAGAAGAAGGAGATAGATCCGGTCTAATTCCTTGCTTCTCAAAGGTGATGCCGGAGACCAGCAGCCATGAAATTATCTGCAAGCTAATTTGATTTGCATAATCCCAGTAACTCAGAATCTGCATTTAAACAATATCCGTAAGTGATATGAATGCACATTGGAGTTTGAGAAGCACTGTTCCCCATAACATATCCTTCTTAAAGAACCATCGTTCCCCATAACATATCCTTCTTAAAGAACCATCCTGCAGCCCCTCTGTGATTTGCCAGAGTGGAACTTTGTAGTTCAAACCCTCACTCTCCCCAGGTATTGGCTCTGTAGGAAGGCCTATTTTAAATGCTTCTATAGGCCACCATTCATTTTAACCTTGCTACAGCTCTGTGGGGCAGGCTTACTATTAATCCTAACTGGAAGAAAACAAGGCTCAGAGAAGAGCAGTGACTTGTCCAAGCTAGTGACAGATTTAGGATTTTACTAGAGGTTCCATTTGATTCCAAAGTTGGTTCTCTTTACAATAAAATGTATGTCACAGTGCCTCATCCAGAAACAGGTGGGCACAGAGTAGGTGAGATAGCTGGTACAATCCTCGCTCTTCATGCCTTGGATTGAAACTTGCAAGACCCTTTCTCTGCTGCAACCTGAAACTTGCAAGACCCTTACTCTGCTTCTACCAGTGAAAGAGAGACCAGTTGTCCTGCTTCAGCAGCAAGTCAATATCTCACCTTGGAAATGACTTTAAAAAAAAATAAAGAGTAGTGTTCTCATCACCACTGAGAACTCCCCCAAGAGAGCATAGTCTGTTTGGCCTCTTGGCAGGACCATTTTAGATATGTGGTTCATTTCCTCTTCAGCAGAGAATCTAGTCTCTTGGGTATTAAAATGTATGCTTTTCTTTTGTGTTCTCTTCTTGCTAGCTGAAAATCATCCAACCAGATGACCCTTTCTCTGTCATGTATGGGACATGTACAAATTTAAATGGTTGTAAAACAACAATTGGAACTTCAGTTTAAATGGAACCAAAACTTCCTACATAGCATGCAGCTGGGGCCAGTATGGCCAAGATTTTAAGTGCCCATGAAGTCACCTTTTTTGTCTTTTAGGCAGGATAATCAATGCCATAGACTAGGCTGAAAACTAGATCCAAGCAGAGGCCCCTCACATTCCTTGGGCATATAAAATGGACAATTAGTAGACTGAATTGTCATTTCTTCATAAAAGTCATTTCCAGGATTTGGGCCTGTATGAGTCAGAGCAGCCTAGCTAGTCCAATGAACAGCAAGTCTCACAGGCCTATCAAAAGACTGCTTCATGCTTTTGCTCACATCACAGTCTGATGCAAGTGAAGCGGCGGGGGTTGGGATGAGGGGAAGAGTGAGTGGGAAGGTGGTGCTCTGCTGTGCCCAGACATGCAGGCCTATGATTCTTCGAAGGGCTGCATCTGCCATCTTCCAGAACTAGAGTGTCCAATATGGCAGTCATAAGTCATATGTGACCATTAACGTTTAAATGAATCAAAAGTAAAATTTACTTTCTCGGTTGCATTAGCCACATTTCCAGTGCTCAATAGCCACATGTGACTAGATACTGGATACAAAAAAATAGAATATTTCCATAATTCCAGAAAATTCTATTGGACAACTTCCTCTAACCTTCAGAGTGCTCCACTGGATTGTCTGAATCTGACCTGCAGACAAGAGAAGGTAAAGAGTCAGTGAGGAGTGGTAGACATATTTTCCCCCAGTTTCATTGCCACAAGCTTGGGACATGGCCTCCTTTACTGCAAGAGAACTGTGAAGCATCAACTAGCTTTGTGCCTGAGAAGAGCAGAAGTGCAGACATGCATGAGCCCTTGGGCATCTTTGTCCCAGTGGCCTTATCAGAACTGCAATACTATCTCAAACTGTATTCCTTGTATTCCTAGTAGAACTAGCCAGGCTTCTAAAGAACATAGCCCTACTTTTGATTAGGCCTCAGAGATGTTAACTCTTGTTCTTGGTAAGGGTTGACTCAGATGCAGAAACTCTGATAACAGTTAACTACTTCACTTGAAAGAGAAAGCCTCATATGACATTCATCTCATCGGTGGCAAACTGCATGAAAAAGTGATTCTGTTTTTATATTCGAAATCAGGAGTTGGCATTTTTTTCTGTACAGGGTCAGACAGGCAATATTTAAGGCTTTGTGGCTCACACAGTCTTTATTGCAACAACTCAACTCTGCAATTGTAGTACAAAAGTGCCATAGATGAAGGAGCGTGACAGTGTTTCAACAAAGCTTTATTTACAAAAGCAGGCGATAGGTGCAGTTTGATCCAGCATAGTTTGCTGGCTCTTGCTCTAAGTCTTTCACCAGGTTCTCTTCACTTCCTAGCAGACTCACCCTTCTCTTCTTCCTGTCTTCTCCAAAAAGGAATGGTATAAAGCAAAATGGAAATGTTGGTGTATGTAGAGAGCCAACAGTTTGCAGTGCTAAGCACTTTACTCAAGTTAATTTAATTCTCACAACCCCTTGAGTAAGATTTTTATGGTTGCCCATTTACAGATAAGGAAGCTGACAGAGAGATTACATGATCAGGTTTAGCTCATGCAGAGGCTAAGATTCTAAGTGTGATGGTATAATTCACTATAAGAGAGCTTAAAAGGGCAAGTGGGCTGCTCTTGGAGAGGTTTAGGGTTGGGGCTGGGGTGGTGGATGAGCAGCTCTGGTATAACTGAGAAAATCAAGAAGAAAAGGGAAAAATATTTGAGAAACAACGCTACCATCGGTTATCAATTGGGCCCCTTATAACATTCTCTGAGTATTGCAGGTACAGTTGCCATTGTAATTATTTTCACTTTGGAAGATGTGACTCTATACAGAGATTGGACCACATGGGGCCTCGGGATTTATTTGGGTTACACTAGCAAAATGTCTCCATTTTTTGCTCCCTGAATTGGAGGAATACAGATTATACGCAAAAAAAAAAAAAAAAAAAAAAAAATGAAGAAGAAGAAGAAAGAAAGAATTACAATGGCACAGCAGTCCAAGAATGAAAAAAGGCTAGCTCTTGAGGTAGAAAATTCTCCATCTCTACAAGTGTTCAGGTAACCACCTATTGTGATATTGAGGAAGGAATGCAGGAACCACAGGGAAGTGGGTTCCTCAAACTGGCTGAGCATCAAAAGAATCGCAGCTTTCACAACCCACAGCCCCAGGCCCCTTCTATTTCTGTCATGTTGTGGAGTGCTGACCTTTTACAAAAGCTCTCCAGGGGATTCAGAGCTTTGGGAACCAATGATGCCAAGAGCTGGGCATCGTGATCTCCACTGCCGCTTCCAAACCTGACAGCATTATCCTCCACAAACCTCTCCTTTGTAAAAACATAACATCATAGCATTATTTAGCCAATCAAAGCACATTCTATTAAAAGGGAAGTGTGCTTAAAGGATCTCTCAAATAAGTAAAGAGAAACAGAAGGAACAAAGTCACTGTGAAGTTACATCCTGCTTCTTTTTGGGTCTCCTTAGATGATATTTTAAACGCATTAAACTAGTTCACCGATTTATTTATTTTTAGGGTTTTTTTCTTTTTTCCTGGTCTGTGGGACTCCACCCTTTCTCTGCATTCACTCCTAAAACTTCTTTAATGAGAAAATAGAGCCAAGTGGAAAAGTAAAAATAGAGAAGAGGTTCTCAGGCCAGTCACAAAAATTATTCTAGAATCCAGGTAATTGTAGCTAAGAGTTGTATCTGCAAAATGGTGAGTAAATTACATTTTTGTAAATATAGCCCTATGTGAAAAGCTGTGAGGCAGCTCCTTATGAAAAAGGCTAAGTTAGAGGAAACTTTCTATAAACTGAGTGGATTTCTTAATTCTTAAAGATTTTTATCTCTAAGATTTTCCCCTGAATTGCAAAAGTAATACATCTATTTTAGAAAATGTGGGACACATACTTAGAAAAACAGAAGAAAAAAATGAAGAGCCACCTAATTTCATCACTGCAAGAAAACAATTTTAAATATTTCAGAGTATACCCTTCCAGATGAACACACACATACACACACACATATACATAGAAATGTATACCTGTAATAAACCTTTTTTGAAAAATTGGGATCAAACTCTACCTATTTATTTGCAACCTGCTTCTCCCCTCACTTCAGCTGTCATGATTATTTTCTCACACCATAAATACATTTCCACAGCAGTGTCCAAAGGCTGCACACAATTCTATCCTATTAAACTCTATTGTTGGACACTGAGGTTGTTTCTAATTTTTGACATGATAAATAATGCTTCTCGTCTGCATCAGTATTATTTTAGATGAAGACACACAGATATAGTCAGTGTTGCCAAATAAAACGGTGCCATTGCTAAATGTGATCTCATGTTTTATGCATTCTAAAATATTGAAGCTGTAGTTTGGGAACTGGTTAACTGTGGCTGCAGTGTGCAAATACACCACCTTCTTCAGGGGCTGAGCTGCGGCCAGCCAGGTCACCTTGAGGGGTGGGGGTCAGGAGATAAGCACCTCCCCTCAGGTTTTCCAATTCCCTGGGCTCAGGAAACCTCTCCCTGTCCTTTCAATAATAGTAATATGAAAGGAAAAGCAGTTAGGGGAAAATGTGGTGGCTTCTGTTGCAAGTTGAATTATGCCCTCACCACCCCAAATTCATATGTTGAAGTCCTAATCCCTAATACCTCAGAATGTGACTGTATCTGAAAATAGAATCTTTAAAGAGGTAAGTAAGGTAAAAATAGATCATTCAGGTGGCTCCTTACCCAATATAACTGGTATCCTTATAAGAAAAGATCAGGGAACACACACACACACACACACACGATCGTATGAAGACACAGGGAGAAGATAGCTATCTGCAAGCCAAGGGGAAAGGCCTCAGAAGAAATCAGCCTGGATCTTGGACTTCCAGCCTGCAGAATTAGTAGAAAATAAATGTCTGTTGTTTAAGCCACCCAGTCTGTGGTACTTGGTTATGACAGCCCTAGCAAACTAAGACAGCTTCCTAACACATCTTCAGAGAAATGTTGCAGTGAGTCAGACTCCTAAGAGCAGGCAGCTGGAGAGTTAGAGTCAGAGAGATGGGACTTGAAATAGAGGGTCAAGGACTAAGGAGCATGCCCTTGCGGGGTCCCAGCCTCAGCATCCTCATCTTTATACTAGAGACCAAACTCCTGTGATAAATAACACCCACTGTATGAGTCCATTTTCACACTGCTGAGAAAGACATACCTGAGACTGGGAAGAAAAGAGGTTTAATTGACTCACAGTTTCATGCATGTGGGGAGGCCTCACAATCATGGTGGAAGGCCAAAGGCACTTTGTACAAGGCAGTGGCAAGAGACAATGAGAGCCAAGTCACAGCAGAAACCCCTTATAAAAACATCAGATCTCATGAGACTTATTCACTATCACGAGAATAGTATGTGAGGAACTGTCCCAGGATTCAGTTATCTCCCACCGAGTTCCTCCCACAACACGTGGGAATTATGGGAGCTACAATTCAAGATGAGATTTGGGTGGAGACACAGCCAAACCATATCACCCACCTTTCAAGGATTCTGAGGATGCCAGATGTGAAAAGTCCATGGCACCGTGCTTGGTATGTGGGAGGCCTGGGATAAACTGTGTTAGCCAGTGGCCTGCACAAGCTCATCTTCACTCCATCAAATATGTACAAAGAGAATTATATGTTTGGAACTTTTGCTTTAGGGCAGATTCACTTTTTTAGCCCACAGTGCTTTTTAAAAACACTTCAAATTAGTTGTCAATGTTTTAACAATGGGAGATACAAATTCTGGATTTCTGGCTATTTGAAAAATCAACAGATCTGGAAGCTGTAGGACCCCATTATCCAGCTCACTGTGGTCCCAGACAAGGGATGTAGCTGCTGGGCCATGTAGCATTGAATTTGTAACCTACACCCTAATGTACAAACTGATTTTTATAAACAAAAATACATACATACATACACACAGAGAATAAATGTATATGTGTGTGTGTGTACTCCTTAAGTCCCATGTCTCTTCACTTCATTATTTCAACATCTTTTCTTTTTTAAAAACTTCACTTTGATTCCAGATTCATGCCTTTGGTGTCTGATTCAACAAAACTGGTCTAAAAGCCCTATTCCCCCATACATCCTAGAAATGCGGATGAAACTGTAAGTCCCCTAGTTTGACCTTTCATTTTACTCATGAGGCAATACCTAATATATGGCCAAAAATTTAAGCCTTGGAAAAGGCCTCAGAAATTAGCTTGTCTTGGTAAAACCTTCATTGTTGCTAGAAATCTTAGAGATTTAGGGAAGGTTTTTGTTATTTGATTTAATTTTTACTAAAAATAGACAAACAAACAAAAACCCAGGAACAAAAACAAAAAACAGAGGAATCCAGACATTTAATTAGTCATGTTAATTTGTTTTCCTCTCCCTCCCAGTAATCTCCAGGCATTACAAAAATGCTTCCAGGTATTTCCTAAGACAGGTTTACCTCCACCAGCCCTGTGAACCTCAGCGTCATCTTGTATCAGTTGCTAGGTAACTGAGGAAGATTTATGCACATCTATTGTTAATTTTAAAGACAATTTTCAGCTCTGCCATAAACATCACAAGAAGCAGACACCACACTTGCACTGAGACATTCCTCTAGCCTTCCCTGAGATGGGGCATTCCAGGGCATGTCTACAAAATCCAAAATATTCTGGTAAAAAAAAAAAAAATGGATAATGCTGGTGAATTCCCAGCTGTCTATAAAAACAGTTCAGCAAATCTGAGACATTTGGGCCTATCTCCAGTACCCTCTTGTGCCAAATCTATTATAAGTTTTATTCAAAGAGCATCATCTGCCCTTCCAGTTTGCATGCATTTAATTGTGCATTTCAAATTTGCCTGAAATTTAATATTGTGCTTCTCTCCCCCTTTCTTTCCAGCAGCACCAAAATTTAGTCCTCTGTATCCCAGAAGCATCTGCAAAATTATTTCTCAAGCCAGTGGTTTCATTACTTTTTTAAAGGTACTTGTTAAGCACAACTACCGTTTATACTGGTTTTGACAAAATGTATGGATTTTATTGTCACTGTTTGAGTAAGTGATGAGGGGACCCAGTTTATAGGATGGGCACCCATACCAATATTTTAGAGAGTGATCATAATTATAATGACCCTTGGCTTGTGGGAAGCAGTTCATGTTTTACTACAAGCTTCCTGGGACATCCCCTCATCAGATTCTCACCACAACCCCATAAGAAGCCTGGTTCGTGGCATCGTCATTCTGACTTAGATGACTTCCTGACTTCAACACTGCTAGCTGGTGCTCTGGCCTTGCCACCTCCTAACTCATCCTCTATACAGTCTTTAGAGAGATCATTCCAAATGGAAACCCAACCATTCCAGTCTCCTTCTTAAAATCAGCCATTGACGTTTCATGGTTTACATTTGCAGTATGGAAGACAAGGGCCTTTGTGATCTAGCCCCTGCCTACCTCTTCAGCCTCATCTCCCATCATTCTTCCCTCACATTTTGCATCCTAGCTGTGCTGCCTTTTATATAGTTCCTGCACATCATGCTGTCTTCTTGTCCCTGGGTCTTTATTCACATGGCTTCCTCTGTTAGAGATACCCCAACATCTAAAT